GCAGGTCTTTTGCCTCTTGACTGGTTGGCCAACAGTGTCCCCTCTTTTCATTAAAAGAATTTTAAAACTACTTTTAAAAAACAACAACAAGGAGCTTGGTGGGCTCCCTGCTGCCTACTCCTGGGTCAGATTAAAACTACTTTTAAAAAACAACAACAAGGAGCTTGGTGGGCTCCCTGCTGCCTACTCCTGGGTCAGATTAAAACTACTTTTAAAAAACAACAACAAGGAGCTTGGTGGGCTCCCTGCTGCCTACTCCTGGGTCAGATTAAAACTACTTTTAAAAAACAACAACAAGGAGCTTGGTGGGCTCCCTGCTGCCTACTCCTGGGTCAGATCAATTACACTTTTCTTTTCAGCTTCCCACCCTCCCTATATGTATAAATGTTTTATTTCTAATAATATGTGAAAGCAAAATGACAAAATAAAAATGAACAGATATTCAGCACTAAGTTGTATAATAGCATCAAAGACAATAAATTAAAGATGTGGAGGGAATCCATTTTTTAAGGTCCATAACATGAAAAAGGTTTTTTTTTTTTAGGTAAGAACTGGTTAGATGCCTTTTCGGAAGATTCCTTCAAGGGGAGCTGTTGGAAATGGTTCTGTGTCACCCCTAGTTGTGCTGCATCTGATCCATGAGTGTGAAACAACAGTACTTCCCTGGCCTGGATCTTTGCTCCATCAGTAACAGACAATGCAGTATCATTATGAGTGTGAACACTGAGTGTGAAGAGAAATATTCAGAGCACTATTCAGACACCAAGTTTGTTCGCCTTGGGTCAGTCACTCCATGTTGGCAGAAAGCAACTTTAAAGGATGGTTATGAAGAAAGATGGAGAAGACCTGAATGCCCAGGTTGAAATTGGATGAAAATTGGAATACAAATCTAATAAACTGATTGGACAGAACTTGGACACCATGAGTGCAATGCTGGATAAATTCTTGGATTGCATCCACATTGTTTTAGATACCCAGAGCTGCACACCAGTGGTGAGGAAGCTCACTGATTGTGCCATAACAGCCCTGAGGGTACCTGGTGAAGCTACATTATACATTAGAGATTAAAGTACAATATATCTTTAGCAATGATGAAATCCATAGGCTGTTGGGAACCTGGGATCCTTCTTCTGGGTTCTAATATTAGGTAAAGGATCCGGTCCTTTGTAAGGCCAGTACTCTCTCCTACATTTAATCAGTTTGTTTAGTTATAAACAAAGCAAGCATTATAAAAACTCTGTTAGGTCTCTAGGGTTCCTGTACCCTGAGGAAGCCAGTCCCAAATGTCATGCCCTTGTAATTTGGTTGGGAAAGGAACAGACCACAACAATATTCTTGTGCCAGAAGAAAACAATGTGCAAATCAGACACAAAATCATATCTTTGTTACATACACATCCTGGAGACAGGTAGAAAAAATGCAAGGCAACTTTATGATATATTTCTTCCGAGAAGCTTCCCCTTCCTGCTCTCGTTTCTGCAATTATGACCGTGCCTGCACTTTTCAATAAATAATACAGTTGAACTTCTGCATTTTTCATGCCTCCAATAGATTAGGAGTCTTCTAGGGCAGGGAACTACAGTTTTGTTTTGTGATCTTTAAACTAGTGGGCACATCTGCAGTCTATTAGCAATACTAATTACAATAAAGTCAAGAGGGGAAAAAATAACTTTGGGTAGGTATTCCAGGACATCCTCTGCAAACTCCATGAAAGCAAATGGGCCAGATGGCGTGTCTGTTGCTTTTACTTCTCAAGTACAAATTCTGAGTTTTGAAGAAGAAAAATAATGCTAGATAATAAATCACACATTCCATTTACTGTTTGGGGAATGATGGAATTTGATCAATTGACTAATCAGTTCATGGTGTCCTTATTCAGATTGTACGTTCCATTGACTTTGCAATGGTTCACATATCCCACCAAGTCATAATGTGTTTTACTTAGTTTTGACTTAGTGGGATGTGTGAACTCAGCTATTATGACCTATAAACCATGATTTGAGGCTTGGTATACATGTATGACCAAGACCACTATGGTTTGCTTGACTAACCATGGTTTGGTACAAAGTATGACCCCAATTATTGTCAGAGACTTTAAAGGTCTACCTTACAGATTTTTAAAATATATACCTGTATACCCGATTTGCTTTCCATATTTCTGGGTTTTCTAGAATCTTCTTTATTGTGAAACTACAACATCTCCTATGTTGCATGTTCTGACATTGATATTTCTTCAATTTTGTATCAAAATTATTTTATTATAATTTTTATATAATTGTACTTTATTATAATTTCAGGTTGCCTTTCAGTGCATCGTATCAATTTTTTGCCCTGCAGCTTGGTAGTTCTAGTTCTAATTCACCTTCCATGGTCCAATACGCTTTGCTTTGCTTCTAAGTCAAGAAAATAAAGGCTTTTTTAAGGACAAACTCAGAATATAACATACAGTGCAGCTTGTTTTATTCTCCTTTCTTTCAAAACCTTACTTTTAGTAGAATTATTTCTAATTATCTGCAGTTTTATTCTTAGAGCAATTCCAGAACTGTATTTTTTTTTTTAAAAGTCATTTTGCAACAAAAGTGAAAACAATGAACGTAATTTGTTACATAAGTTCTGATGCAGATATTTTAATGTTCTTCATTTCTTTTCTCAGACTATACCTTTTTAAAAACTGCATTAGAAGTCCCTTTTAAAATCTCCCTGTTGATTACTGAAAGCATCTTAAGACTCTGTCTACTGATGCATAAGTAACATTTACAATATTTAAGTTATAGTCATTACTTTGGAATGAAGTTTTTCTCAAGAACGTTGACCTATGCTTTCTTATCCTGTAGGAAGTCTATATCTGTGGATCTCAGCTAGGATACATATTTACCTTGGATCAGTCAAGTTGCAGCAGAGAAGGTGGGATACAGGGACACAAATGAATAATAAAACAAAATGGTTCCTGCTGGATAAATTATCTAGTTCAACATTCCCTGTGTGTAGCAGCAGTAGCTAAATTATTATTAATAGATTTTTATCACACCATTTTTTTAATATATAACTCAGGGTGGTAAACATACCTCTTACCTCCTATTTTCCCCACATCATCTCTGCTGGGCTGAGAGAGAGTGACTGGCCCAAAGTCCCCCAACCGGCTTTCAGGCCAAAGGGAGATCTAGAACTCACAGTCGCCTGGTTTCTAGGCTAGCACTTTAACCACTACACCAAAGTGGCTCTCAGATACATGCTGCTAGGAAATTAGGAGCAAGCTATAAAATTAACTATCTTCGTCTAACCAGTCTAAGTTATAAGGGTATAAGAAGATTAGATCAAAACAGTGCATTGAGGTATATCTTATTGGATATATAGTTTGAACTAAGATCCCATGAATATTCTGCCAGGAAACTTTCCAGAACAAAAGTGGGACCATTCTGAGATTTCTAGAAGTGACTGAACAGGATTTTTTTGCACACCTCTAGCATGAAATACTTCTATCTAAAACACCAATTATTCCATTCGATTGTGTATTTCATTGTTACATTTAACATTAATCACGTCTAGAAGATATATGGCATTGAAATATATTTTCTGCAATTAGGCATACAAGGAAAGTTACAAAGAGTCACACATACTAAAATATACATATACAAACAAATGATTCTTCATCTTTCCTTACATCCACTTCCCGCAGGTAGATGGTATGAAAATAATGATGTTACAGAGTGCCACAAAAGTGTGTGGCGGTACATTCATGGCATGTACAGAAAGGCTACCTGGTGGAATTATGAAGTGAAAGGCTGTGGGTGAGAAAAATGCATTCTGCATAAGAGGATGATTGCTGCAAAAAATTAGGATGAGAGAAAAACATACTATGTTATATAGAGAAAAAGAGTCAGAATGAAGAACAGTCAAAGGTAAAAGCCAGAGAAAAAGCAAAATTATTTTTGATGGACTTAAAAATTAAAGGGATGAAATAATTTGGGATGAAACTGAAATAAGGGAATGCTAAAAGGAATATTTGAGAGATTTGACTGTGAGAATAATAGTGATATGTTGAAAAGTAGTATTGTAATGGAATATGGGTTTGACTCAGAGAAACAGGAGGGGAATACTGAGCC